AAAACCAACCATACGTGGTCAGCCCCACACTTTCCCCCCACAGAGACAGGCAGACCCTCACGGAGCCGGGCCCACCACAGCCTCCCTGTTGGCTTTCCCATCTCGGCCGGGGCCCATCCGCCTTTCCAGGTGCTGAGGCCAAACACCTGGGTCAGTGTGTGTCCCTCCTCATCTCCGTACCCTCATCTCACCCACCACCAGTCCTGGGGGCTCCGTCCTCAGAACTGCCCAGAATGTGCTCCTTCGCCACCCGGCCAAACCACCGCCAGCCGCCCCTCCCCCACCCCCGCCGTCATGGCTGTGGCCCCTGCGCTGCCCTCCCCGCAGTCTGTCCCCCACACACTGCCAGACGGACCCTGCTCAGACCACATCAGGCTACATCCCTCATCCCCACTCCTGCCATGGCCACGCCTGAGGCAAAGCCAGGACCTCCCGGGCCTTAATGATGGGGCCGCCCTTATTTCCTGCCACCACTGTCCCCGCTGGCCACCCACCCGCTCCAGCTGGCTGGCCTCCCCATCTTCTCTCACACACCAAGGCCCTTCTTGTCCTTACTCTTGCCATCCCTCCTCCTAGAATGCTCTTCCCAGTGACCACACAGTTCCCTCATGTCTGTCTTTCAAGTCTTTGCTCAAATTTTCCCTTCTCCACAAGGCATTCCTGACCTCCTCCTCTCACTACACGGATCCCCCAGAGGGGGGGTTCTCAGTCTGCCTGCATATGACACATTCCCCCCAACCACCTGCGAGGCCTCAGGAGCTGGCCAGAATCCTGGTTCTCCCACTTACCAGCTGTGTGACTTTGGGCAAGATACTTAACCTCTCTGTGCTTCTATTTCCTTATCTGTAAAATGTACCTTCTTTCTGGGTTATTACAGAACTTAAATGAGTTAATATGTACCAGCTGTCTGGAATACAGCAGATGTCCAAATCGCTATTTGGACAGAATCATTGCATGCTATGGGCCACAGGTTCTGATCGCTAGGCTCCAGTTCACCTCTGCCCTCACTCTCCATGTGACCTTGGGCAAGTCCCTTCCTCTGGTTGCCAAATATAGAGATTATGCAATAAGTGGTCTGAGCCCCTGGGGTAATTTGAAAACATGCTCACAAAATGTTTAATACTCTCTTGTTCAAAAGGCAGTTCTGAATCCCCTCCTCCACTTTGGGGGCCAGAGGACATAGGCTGGACTTAGTGACTTATTTCCAATAAATAGAATATGGCAGAAGTGATGGCGGCAGTCCCCAGTCATGACAGACGTTGCTGTCCTGCCTTGCTCACCCTGGCAAAGCTGGACGCCATGTGAGGGCCCTTAGGCAGCCTCTGGAGAGGCCAGTGTGAGGACAGAGGCCTCCTGCCAATAACCACATGGGATGAGCCAGCGTGGAGGCGGGTCCTCCAGCCCCAAGCGAGCCTTCACATGATGCAGCCCCGGCTGAACCAGGGCCCATGGAGACGCTCAGCCAAGCCACACCAGACACTGGGGGCGCAGTGAATATTAAGGTTCTAACCTCTTGGTTTAGGTAATTTCCAATGCAGCAAGAGACTGCAGTACAGTCCCTTCCCTTTCAGACGCTCCAAATTCTTGTGAGAGCCACTCCTTTCTCACACCTCTAGCCCCAGCCTGAGTCCCCGGGGCCCCTCCACTCAGTGCCATTTTGTGAAAGCAACTGCATTAGCAGAAAACCTTTAAAGGGCTCCCTGACCAGCCTGCAAAGCCCCAGGAAAGAGATATGCTAAAGACGGCCTCAGGCTCTCATTCCTGAAGCACAGCCCCAAACAAGCACCCCAGGCCCCAGGATGGGGCCCGCAGGGCAGGCTGCACCTCCCGGCAGAGCTGCGTGGGACCCTCTGATGTCCTGACGTACCAAGAAGTGAGGGGAGAACCAAGTCAAAACAGAGTACACAGACCCAAACCCCAGAGCAACCCTCCTGCCTGAAACAGTGAAAGTACATACATTTATTTTTAAACGCACAGTTGAGTTACCTCAAAATTAAGGAAATAGTTGAAGCAAAACCAAATCAACTGATGAACAGATAAAACAAAAAATAAGGTCCATCCACACAATGGAATCTTATTCGGCCATAAAAAGAAGTGCTGACGTGCTACAGTGTGGGTGAACCTTGAAAGTGCTGTGCTGAGTGAACGGAGCAGGACACAAAGGACCACATGTTGCAGGATCTCATTTAAATTGTACACCCACCCAGGCGCCTGGGGGGGGGGGGCAGTCAGTCGGTTAAGGGGCCAACTGTGGCACAGGTCATGATCTCGAGGTCATGGGTTCGAGCCCCAGGGAGGGCTCTGCGCTGACAGCTCAGAGCCTGGGGCCTGCTTCAGATTCTGTGTCTCCTCCTCTCTTCCCCTCCCCTGCTCATGTTCTGTCTCTCCATCTCTCAAAAATGAATGTTAAGAAAATTTTTTTTCATTGCACACTCAGAACAGGCAAATCTACAGCCACAAAAACACATTAGTCATTGCCAGGGTCTGGGGAAAAGCGGGGTGGAGAGTGAATGCTAATGGGAGTGGAGTTTCTTCTGGGGGTAATGAAAACATTCTGGAATTTGGTAGCAGTGGGTATGGCAGCACAACTCTGAAAATACATGGGAAACCATGAAACTGTATACTTTAAAAATTTTTTTTTAATGTTTACTTATTTTTGAGAGAGAGAGAGACAGACAGAGAGAGATAGAGTGTGAGAGGTGGAGGAGCAGAGAGAGGGAGACACAGAATCTGAAGCAGGCTCCAGGCCATGAGCCATCGGCACAGAGCCTGATGTGATCCCACGAGCTGTGAGATCATGACTTGAGCAGAGGTCAAGAGTTGGACACTTGACCAACTGAGCCACCCAGGAGACCCTAAATTGTACACTTAAGTGAATGAATTTTATGGTTTGTGAATCTTATTTTAATAAGGCTGTTAAAGCAATAGGATTGAAACTGTGCCCTCCCCCCTCCCCCCAGAGGGTGCTGGAACGGGAGGGCCCACTCAGCTGAGACCCCAGGGCTATATGTGCAGGGGTGCAAGGCAAGCCAGCAGCGAGACGCCGGCTTTGCTGTCTCTATCTCGGTGCCAATCAGGGAAAAACAACAGACACAGACACTTTGTTTTTTCCCTGTGATTGGCACCGAGAATTCATAATGGCAGAGATGAGACAGGCCGGGAACTGGGCACAGCAGGGCCAGGAATAACACCAGAAGTGGGGCCCTTCTGCCCATGAACCCGGGGACTCAGGACATGAACCTTGAAATGATGGAAGCAAGCCAGGCAGTTAGGGCTGCAGAATACACCCCCGAAGGCCCCTCACCCCCACATACTCCCGCCCCCCCCCAGCTTGTGAAGCTGTTGGGGTCTCTATGTTGAGTCTGTTCCTGTGGCCCCTGGGTCAGGTGACAGAGGCGTCTTGCTGACCATCTTTGAGCAGAGAAAGACGCCAAACCAGGCGGTGCTGGCCCTGCATATGCTCTGCGGGTCCCCTGCCAGCCCTGTGGCTGGTGTGCATGGCCAACCACATTGACGGTCATGCTGTGGGTCACTGCAGTCCACACAACCCACCACCACCTGCCATGCGGCTGGACACAGGGCCTTGCACCCGGAGGAGGCAGGGGGCTCACCCGGCACATCTGCTCCTGGGCAGAGCCAGCCAGGTGATGTCAGAGGGGACGGACACAACCCTCACCACGTGACTGGTGGTAGCCTGGGTCCTACAAGCGCTGGGGCTGGCGGAGAAAGCCACAGCCACGTGATGGCGGGCGTCCCCTGGCCGCACCAAACTGTCGGTCCTGTCGCACACGCTCTACCTGGGTCACGAGCCCTGGGAGCAGACGCAGATGCCGGAGATCTCTGAGATCCCCAGTGTCTCTCTCATGCACGCATTCCTTCACTTCTTCCAGTCAACAAATACCGAGTGCCTACTGTGTGTCAGATGCTAGCGCCAGACAGCCCACCTGCTCTCTGCTCTCGGGGACCCTGCATCCCGGGCAGCAGGGTCCACCGGCAGACAGACACACAAATGGTCCTTCCAGGCGCCGGGCCGTGCTGTGGAGTAAGCAGGGGGGGCCCAGGGCGGCTTCTGAGGGTCGGGCTGAGCCCTAAACGATGACTTTCGGGAGGTGGTGAGCACAGAAAAATCCAATGCAGGAAAGGAAGTTATGCCCGTGGGTGCCAGGGGGAGAGAGCTTGAGGCGGGGGTCTGGGCCTCCTGATGGGGGGCCCGGAAGATCCATGATCCCAGGGGGAGAACAAATGGTCAGCAAACACACGGGGACGTGTCTCGCCTCCCCAGCCACGGAGTCACTGGCGCCCCGACATCATGAGGTGCTGTTTGGGACTCACTAGACGGTGAAATTCCGACGTCTGCTCCTTCCAGGTGTGGGCAGGGCTCTCATCACCACGGGGGGGGGGGGGCTGAGGTTGAAAACCCTCCTGTCTTGTGACCAATCCACTCTCAGAAACATACTCAATGTAAACGTACGTTCCAGGGCACCAGAGGCGGACACGGGGATGTCCCCAGAGACATCGTTCACAAGGGCCCTGAGACGGAAACAATCCGGGCCCAGCAGTGGGAAAGCACATCGACCACAGCAGGGTGTCCTGCGGCGGAGAGTAAATGATAGACAAGGGGCCAAGACGCCAGAACCGCATGGAAGTCTTTTTTACGTCCCTCTTCCCGGAAACACAGCCAGACCAACACTAACCAGCCCGCAAGACTAGAAACCCGACTTGAGGATTAACACTACGATGTGCACAACCTGAACCACAGAACTCGTCAGGGGCGCGGCGCGGAGGTGACCTGGGGGGACAGAAGCTGCTTTTGCAAGCGGAGAGAGGGTGGAGACGGAGGTGGGGGGGTATGGGGAAGCACCCCCAAAGCAGCTGGAGAGAACGGGGGCCGTGGACACAGCCGCAGGGACCAACGACAAAGGGAGAAGGGAGAAAGCAGAGGGAGAAGGTCCATCACGACTCTAGAAACGGGGCCCAGAGGGACACTCGCCGCTACTCACCCGGCGCTGCACTGGCGGGAAGGCGCCCCCAGGGGCGCAGTGGGCGGGGTCCTCGGCTCCCGCTGCCACACGGCCGCCGTCCCTGGGCGCCGGCAGCAGTGCGGTCCCGCGAACGGTCCTGGGGCGACGGGCACCAGCCGCTGCTCGGTAAGACCCTCCCCAGAGGCCTGAGCGGAGCCGAGCCGCAGGCCCTCAGGAGTGAGGGGTCAGCCGCATCTGAGGTAACACTGAGGGACGTGCCGCCCGGCAACCTGACGGCGTGGCCCTGGACACTGTAAGAGCGGGAGGGGACGGGAGCCGGAGACGAAGGACAGGTGTGTGACTGCGGATTCCCGGAGAGCACAGACTTCAGGCCCCGGCCAGGGCAGCCCCGCGACGCCATTTTCTCCCCTCCCCCGCATGCGCAAACACACCTGCAGGCGCCACAACAATGCTCCCCGGTGTGCTAAACAGCGCCATCTAGTGGAAAACGGAGGCGTTACACTAACTGGCAAACTGGGCCAACCCAGCTCTTCCGGAATGCCACAAGTCCCTCCCCTGCTTAGTTTACTGACTCTAACCTGCTTCAGAGTTTCCCTTCTAGGTGAAAACGATGTAGTTTCAGTCATATTTCAGGCTGTTCGCTGGTCCATCTATTCAATTTTCTTTTTTTCTCTTTTATTTTTTCCTTTCTTTTCATTTACTTACATACAGAAAGAAAAAAATTTATTTTCAATTTTTACTAAAAACAGTTTTGTTTTTTCTACTAAATTTTTTTTTACTTTTTTGTAAATTTTTCAAAGTCTATTTTACTTCCATCGTTTCAACTTATCCTATATCATTGTATTCATTTTCCCTAATTTTCAAAAGTTTTCATTCTTTTCCCATTTTTCCTATAATCAAGCAAGTACCTTTCAATAACCAGACCAAAATGCACCTAGGATCTAGCATCATTCATTTGATTTTGTGTGTGTGTGTGTGGTTTTAAATATTTTAATTTTAAAATTGATTCCCTTTTTTCTCTAATCAATCCAACTCCTTTCAATTATCTGACCAAAACACACTAGGATCTAGCATCATTTATTTGATTGTGTGTGTATGTGTCTGTGTTTTTAATTTTTTAATTTTAACTTTTTCTTTTTTTTCTCTAATCAATCAAACTCCTTTCAATAACCAGACCAAAACACATCTAGTGTATAAACTACCAAAACTGAAACAGGAAGAAATAGAAAATTTGAACAGACCCATAACCAGTAAAGAAATCCAATTAGTAATCAAAAATCTCCCAAAAAACAAAAATCCAGGGCCCGGTGGCTTTCTAGGGGAGTCCTACCAAGCATTAAAGTAAGAGTTGACATCTATTCTCTTGAAGCTATTCCAAAAAATACAAATAGAAGGAAAATGTCCAAACTCTTTCTATGAAGCCAGCACTACTTTGATTCCAAAACCAAAGACCCTACTAAAAAGGAAAACTACAGACCAATTTCCCAGATGAACGTGGATGCAAAAATTCTCAACAATATACTAGCAAACCATATTCAACAATAAATTAAGAAAATTATTCACCACAAGCAAGTGGGATGGACACCTGGGAGGAAGGGCTGGTTCAATATCTCCAAAACAATCAATGTAATGTATCACATCAATAAAAGAACAAGAACCACATGACCCTTTCCATAGATGCAGAAAAAAACATTTGACAAAATACAGCATCTTTTCTTGATAAGAACCCTTAAGAAAAAAGGGATAGAAGGATCATACCTCAAGAGCATAAAAGCCATATATGAAAGACCCAAAGCTAATACCATCCATCTTCAATGGGGAAAAACTGAGAGCTTTCCCCCTAAGGTCAGGGACAAGACAGAGATGTCCACTCTCACCACTGTTCTTCTACAGAGTATTGGAAGTCTTAGCCTCAGCAATCAGACAACACAAAGAAATAAAAGGCATCCAAATTGGCTAGGAGTTGGTTAAACTTTCACTCTTCGCAGATGACATGATACTCTTTATGGAAAACCCAAAACATTCCACCAAAAACCTGCTAGAACTGACCCATGAATTCAGCAAAGTGGCAGGATACAAAATCAATGTACACAAATCAGTTGCATTCCCAAACACCAACAATAAAGCAACAGAAAGAGAAATCAAGGAATCGATCCTATTTACAATCGCACCAAAAAACATAAAATACGTAGGAAGAAATCTAACCAAATAGGTGAAAAATCTATACACTGAAAACTATAGAAAGCTAATGAAATAAATTGAAGAAGATGCAAAAAATGGACAAATATTCCCTGCTCCTGGATATGAAGAATAGTGTTAACATGTCAATACTACCCAAAGCAATCTACATATTCAATGCAATTCCTATCAAAATAACACCAGCATTCTTCACAAAGCTAGAAGAAACAATCCTAAACTTTGTATGGAACCAGAAAAGACCCTGAATGGCCAAAGGAATCTTCAAAAAGAAAACCAAAGCAGGAGGCATCACAATCCCAGACTTTAAGCTATATTACAAAGCTGTAATCTTCAAGACAGTATGGTACTGGCACAAGAACAGACACTCAGATGAATGGAACAGAATAGAGACCCCAGGAATGGACCCACAAACATATGGCCAACTAATCTGGGACAAAGCAGGAAAGAATATCCAATGGAATAAAGACAGTCCCTTCAGCAAATGGTGCTGGGAAAACTGGACAGCGACATGCAGAAAAATGAACCTGGGCCACTCACTTTCTTACACCATACACAAAGATAATCTAAAAGTAGCTGAAAGACCTAAATGTAAGGCAGGAAGCCATCAAAATCCTCGAGGAGAAAGCAGGGAAGAACCTCTTTGACCCTCGCCACAGCACCTTCTTACTGACCATGTCTCTGGAGGCAAGGGAAACAAAAGCAAAAATGAACTATTGGGACCTCATCAAAATAAAAACCTTCTGCACAGCTTGGGGAATATCAGCAAAACTAAAAGGCAATTGACAGAATGGGAGAAGGTATTTTCAAACAACATATCAGATAAAGGGTTAGTAGCCAAAATCTATAAAGAACTTATCAAAGTCAACACCCAAAAAAATAAATAATCCAGTGACAAATGGGCTAAAGACACGAATAGGCACTTCCCCAAAGAAGGCATCCAGATGGCCAACTGACACATGAAAAAATGCTCAATGTCACCATCATCAGGGAAATACATATCAAAACCACAATGAGATCCTACCTCACACCTGTGAGATGACTAACATTAACAACTCAGGCAACAACAGATGTTGGCAAGGATGTGGAGAAAGAGGATCTCTTTTGCACAACTGGTGCAATTGCACACTGGGGCAGCAACTCTGGAAAACAGTATGGAGGTTCCTCAAATAATGAAAAATAGAACTACCCTACGACCCAGAAATTGCACTACTAGGTATTTATCCAAGGGATACAGGTATGCTCTTTCGAAGGGGCACATACACCCCAATGTTTATAGCAGCGCTATGGACAATAGCCACAGTATGGACAGAGCCCAAGTGTCCATCAATGGATGAATGGATAAACAAGATGTGATATATATATATTATATATTATATATCACATGTGATATAATATATATATATATTACTCAGCAATCAAAAAGAATGAAATCTTGCCATTGCAACCACATGGATGGAGCTAGAGAGTATTATCCTATGTGAAATTAGTCAGAGAAAGACAAATATCATATGACTTCACTCATATGAGGACTTTAAGATACAAACAGATGAACATATGGGAAGGGAAGCAAAAATAATATAAAAACAGGGAGGGGGACAAAAACATAAGAGACTCTTAAATATAGAAAACAGAGGGTTACTGGAGGGGTTGTAGGAGGGGGAGATGGGCTAAATGGGTTAGGGGCATTAAGGAATCAACTGTTGCTGTATATCCTAACTAACATGGAGGTAAATTTTAAAAAGAAATAAATTAAAATTTTTTAAAAAAGACTGTAAACTGACAATAGCTATTTGCAATAACCTGGACATAGCTCTGTTACTTAATCAGCAACTAAGAAAGAAAGGTCTGGAAGATAACAGAGTAAAAGATCTTTGAAAGAATAAAATTAAGAAGAGACAACCAGGACTTCTGGCTTCTACCTACAATGTAGAGTGCGAGAAAGAGCTCTCACCCTGAAAAGACAATGATGGCAAGCTGGGTGATATGTGAATCCTCAACTTTTCCTCAACTCATCAGAAAGCTCAGGCTGTAGAGAACCAATAAACTCAAAAATCCAAGAAAAGGCAGGCACCTCCAAGAAGACAGTGGATGTGAGTCCTGGCTTACCTAAAGTGTTGGGAACCATATAAGCCCCAGTTCAGCCTCCCAGCAGAGCCCTGGAGTCTTCTCCTTCAGCTCCAGCCTGGCCCCCTCGAGCCTTGGCACCTCGTCAGGCACCGGCATCTGCAGTAGTAGCAGATCCCAGCGTCAGTCATGGGACACAGACAAGTGGGAGGGACTCCTGGGAGCCAGGGAGAATGACCCTAGAGCCAGAGAGAAAGTCAATTTCATTCATGAACTAATATATTCATTCAAAAACCAATGTTTAAGAAACATAAATTTAAAGTTTTGTGACACAGCCACAGCCCATGACTTTATTTTATATTATTTTGTTTTAAGTTGAAAGAAACTTCAATACATGTTTACTTTGAGAGAGGATGGTGCGAGTGGGGGAGGGGCAGAGAGAGTCCGAGCCCACTCTGTGCTGTCAGTACAGAGCCCCACTAACAACTAACAGCTGTGATGATGACCTGAGCAACGCCAAGAGTGGGTCGCTTAAGCAACTGAGGCCCACCCAGGTTCCCTGTCCTGCCTTTGAAGTGGAAGGAAAGATGCAGAGCTCCAGGAAGCCCGGGGACAGACACAGGAGAGTGGCCAGTGGCTGGACCCCACACGGGCTGGTGTGTGACGCATGATGCATGCCCTGTGTGGATGAGAGGGCCCGGGAAGAAGATCTGGTCCCGTGGACCGTGGGACTGTGCACACCCCTCAGAGTTCTCTGCAGTGGATTCCAGTCGAGAGGGTTTACCATGCCACGGCCTACAAGAGGAGAGGCCGCCCTAGCTGCAGGTCTGTCCTTCTGTCCCCAACTGGGCGAAGCTTTAGACTGGACTGATTTTCCTGGGGTATCTCACTCCTCTCCTGCTCTTGTGTTTTTCATCAGGGGAGGAGGGAGTGCGTCATGTTAAATCTTGGAGTAAAGTGGATGCTCCAGAAAGATGTATCCCAGATCCTCTGTCTTCATCCTCCCCGCACAGAACTGGGGCTGTGCCTGTTCCAGGTGGAGGAGCGTGGGGTGATGCAGTAGCAGGGAACTCACCGGAACAATGAAGCGAAAAGATGACGTAAGGGCCTAGTCCCAGGACGACTGCAGGGCGGAGATGCAGAGATCGTGGGGGCGCCCGGGTGGCTCTGTCGCTGAGT